TTGAACTGTAAGGTCTAGAGCAGAATTTGGCCCTGCTTGTTGTTTTTATTTTGCATTCTTGTGGTAGACTAGGTCACTGTATTGGCATTCCTCTATTTGAGTGAGATATTTTTGCTCTACTATTGCTGTAAAAATTACTACAATGAACTTGAGAAATTCAATCCAAAAAGATACGTTAATTTCAGAGATTCACAAAACTGTGATTTTCCTTTTTCTTTACATGTCACCTATCACTGGTATCTAAAGGCTTTTCAAAATACAAAGTATTTCACAGAAGCATAATTATACAATATTCCTGTGTTCTCTCACATGTAAATGAAACTTAAACTCAAGGTCCTAAATTTTATGACACCATGCACTGCATGGAAGGTTTCACAGCAGTTTATTTTAAATTCAGAAATGGAACTTTTAAATTAATGAAATACGAAAGAGAATAATAACATCAGCACAGCAGCCCCCTGCTGTTTACTTTGATATTAAATTCAATTTGTTTTATGATATCGCCAACTCTTTGCACGCATATTGGTTGCACATAACTATTCTAGAAGCTGCAGGACAGAGAGCAAGCTGGAGATTTTGGTGGGAGCAGAGGAAAAGCTAGAGCTCTTGGTGCATGGAGAGCCAGTGGCAGGTAAAACCATTGCCAGCATATTTCTGTAAAAATCATCAAGTAGTTTCAATGCTTGCTTACACCGGTACTTTTGCCTTTACATACGCTGATCATTTCTGAGGATAAAGTTTGTTCAATAATATTTTTCAAATACAAGTTTTAAGCTTATGAAACCTTTAGTGGGAAAGTCCCTTTCCGGCTGCCACTGAAAGGGAAAGTACGTTCATCCCATCTGATTAGAAGACTCTGCGGATTTAGATACACCACCATTAATGTCAGCTGAATGCTGTATGCATTACCCACATGTAGGAACGTAAGTCATAACGTTAGTAGTTGAGATGGGGCGTCACTGTCATACCGAAAGAGTCGTGCTCTTCACTGCTGTCCATGTTAGGGGTCATAGTACGCGGAGAAAGGGCACCCCAGCTCTGCCAGGTAGAGCATCTGTTACTGGGGGAGTGCCAGGAAACTCAGAAGCTTCTTACCAGTTTGAACTTGGGCAAGGATTTAAACGTCAAAAAAATGTGGCTTATAAGTCCTTTAAGAACAAACACGAATACCTTCACGCTTTGAAAATGACAATTAAAGCAACTGTTTTAAGTAAATATTCCTCCTATAACGTCTGAAATCCAAATATAACAGTTCTGGACAGCTGCTGAAAATAATAAAAGCCCTCCTACTTTAATGCAGAAAAAAACTTCAAAAAGAGAATAAGTAATAGTGGCACGGCTTTCTTCTTTTAACCTAAGACGTTACTACTAAGTCAGTGTCTCTCCTATAGTCTGACTGAAGTCAACAGTTAACGTTGGCTTCAAAAGGCCTGGTGACATGGCAGATCAGTGGAGCTTACCCGCTTTTAACTTGACTGCAGCAGAATAGAGCGAATTTACTCATTGCTCTTGTGCAGTGCGCTTGTGAATTTACCTGCTAAATTTACCATCGTGCCACTGAGGAGACCACTCCTTCACGGAAGGATCTCAGATCTCTTCAGAAAGACGAGTGAGAGCAATTTCTATGAATTACGTTTGCAGGTGAGGCATAAGTAGACTTGAAGCATCCCAAGCGACAGTCCCGTACCTCCGAAAGATGTAGCCCAGGTAGACCCTGATATTGGGGGCTAGGCCAGTATGGGGGTATTCTTCCTCGTGGCTGTAAAACTCTCAGCCTGCAAGCCGATAATACCTTTTACGACAACATTTTTGAACGATGAGGCAGCAAAGGACAATACTGACAGGGTAACTCTGAATTTCTTTGCTTTTGTGGATTTAAATCAAGCTTTAAATTATTTTTAGTAGCTTACTATTACAGCTTTTGCAACCTGAGGACAGACTAGTGCCTTTAATTGACTAGTAATTTCAACAGTTAATCAGAAAATGTCATTACCTAGAAAGACTGCAGCTCAGAATAAAGCACACTGGAGTTAAATTTAAATTAAAGCATGGACAGAAATGAATGCAGCCTTTGATCCCCCTTCCATCCAGACTGCACCCTGATGGGCACAGCTGGACAGGATAGAAATCGCGCGAAGGAAGAGGTCTCGCCTGTTTAAAAGGATACTGTCAACTCATTAAGTCCTCAAGTTGAGTAAATTGAAAAAAAGACTCACTGGGTTCTTTCAGAGCTCTCCTAATGTTCTCTGCAATAGCCATTTCTTGCCAGTTTTACTTTTGAAAGAGGCTGTTTTGCAGACATTTGACTGAAAAACATACCATGAACATCTGCTTAATTTTCAGTGGCCAAAACTGCGTTTCCGTCAGCTGTGCGGGGACCATGAGCCTACGCCACGGCACGCACCCCTGCCTGAGGTATATTCCTTGGGGCAAATGAAGGGTCTGTTTGGCTTTGCTCGTGGCACCACCCCGCAGTGGCGAGACCCCCTGCCCCAGCTGGTCCCAGCAGGAGAATGGGCGATGAAGGCCATTGCTTGAAGGCCACGTGGTCGCAGCTCAGGAAGGGTTTGCCAGTTCTGTGTTGCATCCTTTTCTGCACATCCAGGCTTACAGATGACGAGGCTGGAGGCAGGTGGATGAGACAAGCTCCACGGTCCGGGAGCGACGAGCGCGGGCATGTGCGTAAGCACCTCTTGCTGCATCACACAGACTGCCCAGGAGCTGGTGCCCTGCTGCTAACACGCTCTGTACCATGCAGCTTTTCCTGCCCAAGGGCATCTTGGTGCTGTTCAGACTGGGCTGCCCCTTTCCTCTGCACGCTGCTGCAGCTTAACAGGAACTGGCCGCAAGCTGCATTCAGGTATGCCTGCTTGCATTTTCTTGGGCAACCGTGTTTCCTATTTCCTTGTTCCAGTTCGCTACCCAGGAGACACCTGGGAATCGTCTGCCTGAAACATGTCTCGGTCCATCAGAAGTGCAGCTATACAGCAAATACATTGGTAACCCTCTTAGCGTAGTCGTGTCTTTTGGTAACACGGACTCCAGCTCTCCACAACTGGAAAACAATATGTACTTTTTCCTCCAGTTTAACTGTCTGTGGCATAGCTTTCTCCCCCCCCACCCCCCACCCCAGTATAATGATATTGTTAAAAACCTCACTTGCACCCCACTGACTGGAGAAGTTTGTGATGCAGACGGGCCTGGCCTAGCCACTGGTGGGCCCAGCCTTGCCATTGTATGGACTTGCAGAGGGCTCAGGTCACCTTCCCTGGGAAGCGAGGGATGCTTCCAGCTTTGATGTAGGAAACAGCAATAACGTTATCTCCGGGACCGTTCAGATTTGGTGGGAGCCAGCTTTACCAATTCCAGCTAATTTGGCAAGGTCAGGAAGGGCTGGTAACAGCGGATAACGTGCTCGAGGATAAAACCCTCCTCTCCTGAAGACCCCACCAGGCACTTGCTGCTGTCTGCTCTAGAGATGTCACCTTGCTTTGTTGCCCCCCTGCTCTTCCTGCTGGTGTTATACCTGCCCGATCTCCGGACTGTCGTGCAGAGACCATCAGCATGGCACCAGGGTTGCCTCGCTGCGCGCTCCCACTTAGGTTTCCCCGGCGGCAAAGTCAGCAGAGGCGTTCTCTTAAACTTCCTCACGCTTTTTAAAAGCCTGGATCTCCTCACTAATGCTGTTTATAGCCGAGCACTACAAACACACTGGCACACCATCGCACAGGCAGCAGCCCTTGGCACGAGGAACACGCAGAATAAGGGGGGAGAGGGGTGAGCGAGCGCAGGACCGGTTTTGCTGTTAGAGAAAGTGTAATGCCAAAGCGTGCCCCAGCTACCAGGAGCACAACTGTAGCACAGCAGCCGCCTCTTCAGGCAGCGTGTCACTTCAACGAGTCCCTCCAGCGTCCCGTAACGGAGCGAACCGCTCCCTACGTCGCTTGGGCTCCTGGTCAGCAGTGAGAACGTGTCAGCTTTTATTTGCAATATTTGTAAATGGATCCAGAGCAGGAGTTGAGGGTATGTTTTAAAACCAAAAGGAAATTGTCAAAATATTATTGGCTTCGGTGCTTTCCCTTCTCGAGTTCCTGCCTCCTGGGACAGGATCGGATTTCTATTTCACTTGAAATTTCATCTGAAAACGTATTTCATTGCGTGTGGTGCAGCAGAGCTGGCTCCCGGGCTCCCAGCTATGGAACTGGGCTGCCTTCAGCCACCAGGATACGTTTGGGGGGGTCCAGTGAAAGCGCCAGGGAGCTAAAGTGCAATGTCGGGGGGTTGTGAGTTGAGCTCCAGGACTTTGTAGCGAGTCTCCTTCTCTCCCAGTTCTCCTTCTCCACCTTCTGCCTTTCCATAAGCGCTCCTCGCCACCAGCCTCCCTGCCCACCTTTCGCCTAGAGCCCGTCCTGGGCATGTTTTCGATCCGGCTAAGCACGGCTTGGGAAGCCTGGGCTTACATGGGAGACGCTTCCAAAAGTTACTCGTTACAAGCAGCGCGGGAAAACGACGACGTTGCTTAGCTCTGCCTTAAATTAGGAAATTTTACCAGAACAGCAATGTTAATGAAAGCGGGTGTGAAAGGAGCACACAAGCACCTGCGCCAGGCCAAAACCGGCTAGCGGCGTGGTCAGACCACTCCAGCCGAAGGGACCGGACTGGCATAGCTCCACCAGTGAACTGTTAAAAGCGTAGTCTAGACTGAAGCAAAGGCTAATAGGCAGCAGCAGGGAGTAAAAACCGGTTTGACATTTTTAAAGAGTAAAATCAGAGTTTGCCTAGGCTTAAAAAGAGGTGGTACAGTCTGTGCCACCAGCGTTGTACTAGCAAGCCCTCTAGTGGAAAAAACAGCTTCACATGGTAGAGGAGTGTGATTGCGGTAAAGCTGAAAGCCGTTTTTTGTCAGAGACGACTGCATCTTTAGGAGAGTTTTTGCTGACACAGCTTACATCTGCTAGGGCGGGCGTGCTTTTTTCTTCAAAGTACTAACCAACACAGCTATGGTGGCAAAACTTGAAAACATAGATTACGCTTACAAGATCAAACGTGGGTCTCGGATTACCTTCTTGCAGGTATCAAGTTAAAAAAAGGAGGGGGAAAAAAAAAAAAAGGTTTTAGGTTACGAGCCAGCCCAGGAACGATTAAAACTTTTATCGCATCCTCCTGAGGGCCTGCGGGGTGCCGGCATCCCCGGCCAGCGGGAAAGCCAAGCCGCGGGAGACG